GGGTACAATTATGCTAATTAAACTCTGATAAAGTAAGTACATATACATCCGTTCTTAAATATCTATCGTTTAAGATTTTTGCATATGGATTAAGGAAACTATTAAATAGCTCTAATATGAGTAAAAAATAATTACACAAGACTAAAATACTCTTATTCAATATGTATTGAGAAAGAAAGAAATATGAAAGACATTTAGTCTCCACCTAATCTAATGCATTAAAAAGTTAAGGGTAAATTTGGAAGAAAAAATCTTAATTATGCTTTGATTTCATTAAACGACAGATATTATGGAACAAAAAAAATTGTGTAAAACGACAGATATTAAGAAACGGAGAGAGTATGTTTTAGTTAAGCATTTGAATTGTTGAATTACGAGGTAAGGGAGAGGATATGTGAAATTTAATAGTGTTGGGAATTTACGAATGGTTAAATGTGAAAATAAGCAAACGAGAGGGGGACTTAGTATAATTATTATAACTTTTGCATGTGTCACTCAGTTGCGTGTAGTCTCCCCAGCCAAGCTTAGGAAAAATATAAAAAGAAAAAAAAACCTTAGGTTGTAAACAAGAAAGGAAGAGAAGAGAGAAAGGAAAGAAAAACAAAGCAAAGAAATAAGAAAAGAAAAGAGGAAAGCTTTAAGGTCTCAAAGAGAGGAGGTCGTCGGAGGTTGCATTTGTTCTTGAGTGAGAGAAACCATCTTCTTTGAGAGTTGCATGATCTTTGTTGGAGTAAAAGAGTGGTGTGGTGATGTTACTGAAGAATTGGAGTGTTCTTCAAGCTCTTGGGTGGAATTTGGAGGAACACTGAAGGAACTAGGTTGCAACGGAGGTAAGAAATCCTTATGAATTTCTACTTCTAAATATGTCCTTCAAGCATGGGTAAGTGTTGGGTAGTGTTAGATTTGAGGTTGGGTCGAAGAAGATGAAGTCTGTACCAAGTTTTAAAATTCGGAATAAGGTTCAACCAATTGAAGAAAGGTTCAACCGGTTGCATATTAACCGGTTGAAGCATGCGTGAATCGGTTGATCAGAGCTGAAAGGGTTTCAACCGATTGAAGGGTAACAACTAGCCAGTTCATCAGAGTAAATTTTGACAAATTTGTTGCCATGTTATGGGTACTTATGCAATTGATCTAAAATCTTATCAAGGTCCTTAAAAGAATTTAAATAGGTTTTTTACGAGTTTAATAGCTTACAAATACATGGAATGAGGATTCAAACTAGAATTGAAGTGAGTAAAGTGGGTTAAACAAGAGTAAAGTTTAGGGTGGTTAAGAGTACCCCATTTGGAAGGGAGTTTAGGAATATGCAAACACAACCATGAATACATAACTATATATGCATAATTAAGATTAAATGCATATGTGGAAGATATTTATATGTGGTAATTATGATGTGTGAAAGGAACAGAGGTGTAAACTCCTACAATAGGAATGCTTAAGATCTTATCCGAGGATGGGGATTATGCGACATCGGGACGGGACATGAGGTGGGTGTATTTGTTACTTGTACATTAGATTAGTTTAAATGTGCTTTATATGTTATGGATTGTGTAATGAGGTGGCTTATTTCTTGCGATTTGTACTATAAATAAGCTTTATCATATTATTAAAATGGTTGAAAACCATTTGGTGAATTGATATGTGATTGGGTGAACAAACTTGTAAATACAATATGAGTGATTTGTTGAATGATGGTGCCTTAAAGGTTTGTGTTGTTTGTTGTTAATAAATAGCTATGTGGTTTGTTTTGTTGGTCATAACAAGATTGTGATTACTATGCGCTATATGATTATTATGAATAATATTTTTGTTGAATAATACATTAATAATAGTTATATGGCTGGTGGGGCCGATATTGTAAAAATAAAATATATGTAGCCTGTGTGGCGAATGTGGTCTGCGAGGCAAAGATCGGTTGAGTGACAAGTGTTGATATAACTCTAATGGGATACTAATTGGTAATGACGCATTTTGGGATTGCTCAAGAGACAATGAAGCTTACATCTAACTATTTAAAGTGCGGTTAGTTGATTGAGAAGATAATAATTATTTATGCATTATTTGCTATTGTTGTTATTGTTATTGATTGCTTATATACACTCACTGAGTGTGTGTGCTCACCCTCCTTAGTGTATGTTTTTCAGGTAAATAAAGAGAAAAGGGATGCCCACTACTGAGTCTAGGAAGTATAAGAGGGAAGTGGGTTTACCGTGTCATATGAAGACATTTTCTATAGTTACTGAGTATTGTAATTGGGAAGCTAAACATTATACTACATTATGGTTATAAAAGTATTACTTCATGTAAAAGAATTGTTGAGATATAAAGGAAGTAAAGTTATGTTGTTGTAACTAATCGTTTTAATTATTATTATTATTTTTAAATGAAGATTTATATGTACGGGGTACATGTGTGTGTCTGAGAGTGGGGTCCACTCTATCGGATTTGGACATTATGTTCTGTCTCTAGGTTGGAGTATGAGAATTTACATCTAAAAATTTTAAAATATCCTATCTTAGGTTTCCTATTGTTCCACAACTCACTGGGGGGTCATTTTGAATATTGGTCTAAGAAGAATCCTATTTAGGATATAACATGAACAATTTATAGCTTCACCCAAAAAATACTTGGGCAAGTTACATTCATTGAAATTATTCTACTCATTTCAATTATTATCCTAACTACACCAATTTGTAGAGGTGTTCTAGGTGCCAAAAATTCATGTCCACATCCTTTTTCGAAACATAATTTTTCAAATTTATTTTGATCAAACTCACCCCATGGTCACTTCTAGCATGAATTATCATATAACCTTTTTCATTTTGAACTCATTTAGAGTAATTTTTAAATATTTCTAATGCATTATCTTTATGTCTTAAGCAATATACCAAATATATCTAGAGAAGTCATCTACAATAACAAATGCATATTTTTTTTCTCCAAGACTTATTACATTTGATGGTACTAATAAGTCTATTTGAATTAATTTCAAAGGTCTAGAAGTTGATATTACATTTTTAGATTCAAATATACTCTTACATTATTTTTCCTAGTTGGAGACTCTATCTTTTTCAAATTTTATTTTAGGTAGATCTACTACTAAATCTTTTCTAAATAGTTTAGATAAAGTACCATACTACAATGTCTTGATCTTGTAAGCTGTAACCAAGGTTCATCTTTTACTACGGATAGATAAATTTAACATTTCGATCAAGTAAGTCATCCAAATCAACAATATATACATTTTCAACTTTTTTAATTATAAATAGAACGTAATTAGTATACAATTACACTATTTATTGAATAAAATTGAAAAATCAAACAAGGGGTCAAAGTCATTCATAATAGAATATGAATTTTATAACAAAAAAAATTCATGTTCTATTATGTCATTTATTGAAATAAAATCAAAAATAAAAATTTAGTTTTTTTTTTAAAATTATAGTTTTTTTTTCGCTGATTTTTAAAATTATAGTTAGTATACAATTATACTATCTATTAGAATAAAACTAAAAAATTAAATAAGGGTCAAAATGTAATGGATACAATATTTTTTAGCTTTAATTGGAGTAGTTTGGTATTTTAATTTGGTTGTTTAAACGACCAAATTAAATTTCAATAGACAATATAATTGTATACTAATTATAATTTTTTAAGATGAAAGTTGAATTTTTATTTTTGATTTTATTTCAATAAATGATACAATAGAATATAAATTTTAATTATAAAATTTAAAATAATTGATATTCTATATGTGATTGAAGTATTTTTTATTTAAATATAACATTTTAAATTTAAGGGGCTAAGTAATATATGTTTATAAACTTTAAGGAGTCTGAATATAATTTATTATTAAATATATTTATGGTAGGAGTCTAAGTGTTCTGCGCGTATAAATTTTAAGAGATCTGTGTGTAATATTTTAAATATAAGAGATTTAAATAATTAAATGACAAATTTAAATGGTCCGGATGTAATCTCTAATTTTTTTCTTTTAAGGGCCATTGGACAACTATAACTTCAGTACCGACATCAGATAAAACTCGCTCCGTATATCTTCCGAGGCAAACTCCATGGAGAACGAAAGAGACGCCGAAACGCCAAAAAGAAACGGCCGCCGCCGGTTGGTACTCTTTCCACTTCCTTTTCAAGGCCACATAAACCCAATGCTTCAGCTCGCAAACATCCTTCACTCCAATGGCTTTTCCATAACCATCATCCACACCACCTTCAACTTCCCCAACCCTTCCAACCATCCTCACTTCACCTTCGTCCCCATCTCCGACGGCTTGTCTGAAACTGAAGCTTCAAACCCAGATCTCATTGCTCTGCTCTCTGTCCTTAACCTCAAATGCGTTAAGCCATTTGAAGATTGCTTGGCTAAGTTATTAGCAGATGTCTCTGAGGAGCCCATTACTTGCTTGATCTCAGATGCTATCTTACCCTTCACCAGGGCAGTTGCTGAGAGACTTAAGCTTCCAAGGATTGTGTTGAGAACTGGTGGTGTTTCTTCCTTTGTGGTTTTTGCTGCCTACCCAATTCTTCTCGAAAAGGGTCATATCCCCATTCGAGGTGCGCTATTCCTAGTTTTTGAGTCATTTTCTTCAATGATTGAATGTGAAATAAATGAAGCAAATCAAACACCTTGCTTGAAAAATCCAAATTATTTGCAGGATGCTTAATTTCCATGTGATTTCCGTTTTGTGTTTGTGATTAGATTCTCGACTAGAAGAGTTAGTTCCAGAGCTTCCTCCCCTTAGAATCAAAGACCTTCCAGTAATCAAGACGAGTAATCCAGAGGCGCTTTATGAAGTAGTTAATAGCATGGTCAAAGAAACCAAGGCTTCTTCAGGGCTCATTTGGAACTCTTTCGAAGAACTAGAACAACCAGCACTAAATGCACTTCGTCAAGACTTTCCCATTCCTATCTTCCCTATAGGTCCATTTCACAAACACTTCCCAACTTCTTCAAGCAGCTTAATAAAAGAAGACCAAAGTTCCATCTCCTGGCTAAACATGCAAGAACCCAATTCCGTAATCTATGTGAGTTTTGGAAGCATCGCGGCCATAGACAAAACAGAATTCTTGGAGATAGCTTGGGGTTTAGCTAATAGCAAGCGCCCTTTCTTGTGGGTGGTTCGGCCTGGGTTGATCCGTGGCTCATATTGGCTTGAACCATTGCCAAATGGGTTTCTTGAGAATTTGGAAGGAAGAGGACATATTGTTCAATGGGCTCCTCAACAAGAAGTTCTTTGCCATCCTGCTGTGGGAGCCTTTTGGACTCATAATGGATGGAATTCAACAATGGAGAGTGTTTGTGAAGGGGTTCCAATGATTTGTATGCCCTGTTTCACTGATCAACTTGTGAATGCGAGATATGTGAGCAATGTCTGGAGAGTTGGGGTGCAATTGGAGAATGGATTGGAGAGAGGGAAGATTGAGAAGGCCATTGGAAGACTAATGGAGGATAAAGAGATGAGAGGTAGGGCTTTACAGTGGAAGGAGAAGGCAAATCTTAGTCTAAGGCAGGGTGGCTCATCATACCAATCTCTACAGTGTTTAATAAGTTACATCTCAACATTCTGATTTTTGAAAATTTTGTATTCTAAAACTCCTTGGTTCTTGCCAACTTCATATGCATCCTTTATTGGGTAGTAACAACCTTCAAGCAGAGTCCCCAGTGTAGATGCTGTTTCCAAAACAATAAGAATCATCATCTGTCTGATTTTGTTCTAAATGGAATTCCATATGCTTAATTAGTAGAATTTCTTACGGCAATGCAAATGTTTGTTAGATATGCAAATAATGGAGATGAAATTTAAAATCTAAGGGATGATAATATTCATTATCTTAAATTGTCAACCGTTTAGTAAGAATTGCAAGTGAAAAAGGATTATAAAGCAAATTACTCACTGACTTACTACTATTTGATAATTTTGCATAACAACAACAAAAAACAATAAAGTCTAAACTTTCAAAGCGAAATAGAGGAATAGTGCCAGACAAATCAGAGAATTTAGGAGGACCAGTAGTTGTGTTTTTTATGCATCTTATGGAAAGGAGTGCAATAGTTTGAAAGGAAAACTCTACAGTATCAAAACAAAAATTGATGTAAGTACTGCCGATTATCATTTTGTTTGGTAATATTACAATTTTGATATGAGAAATTACAACTGTTTAAGAAACGTCATAATCAATTAAAGACACCCATGATCAATCATAGAAAATGCGATATCGATTTTGATGGTGCAAACTAATGTGGGCGAACAGAGTGCGTGAGACCAAAGGTGAATCTAGGCTGCCAACTTCATAATGACAGAGATGAAGTGTTTCTTAAAGGGTAGGGGAGTTTGCACAGTTAGAATATAGTGGTTCACTGGCTCTGGAGCTCGGTTAATCTATTCTCTAATGGAGGCTCTTCTATTTTATTTTCTCTCTTGATTTTTCGAATGTATTACAGTACAATGCATCATTTAATTAGGGTTTTTCTAAGGGGCCCCCCTCCTCTCGATGAGACGTTACATAGTATTTATAAGGATGGTCCCTATTATGTGGGATTTCAGTCGAGATCTTTATCAATTATTCATGGGATCCTCCTTGATTTTAGGAGAGAATCTCAGTTGGTTAAGAGTTTCATGCATTGGGCTCAATTTTCGCAGTCATCTAGTTGTTTCCTGGTTGGTTCTGTCATGATCTCCCCAAGGGGAGCTCTACCCCTGGTTCTCTGAGTTCTCCGTGTCTTTCCTGACCTCCTGACTTGAGCTGACAGCTAGGGCTTGTTTGAGGTATCATCAGTTGCCCCCCAGCCACTGGTTCAAGCAGGCTTGGGCAGGGGTTGAGTTGTTTTTTAAACCGAGCTAGATCTGCACGTGGCTGTCCTTGGCTTGCATGTGAGTGAGGCCTTTTTGACAGTTTTCAGCAATCATGGCTTTCTCGTTTCCTGTGCACGACCCAGCCCACGTCTCTCAAGCTTTAAATGCAAATGGCTATTTGAACCGCCTTATTCCACTATTCAACTTCTCTGTTGCTTCTCTCTTCTTGTGATTTCTTAGCATTCTGGTTTGGAGTTCTCTGATTCCTCGTTCAAGATCGAGTTTTGTGGGTTCGATTTGAAGATTCGCATTGCTCTCTTTCTTCCATTTTGCTCTAGGCTGTTGTTCGTTGCTCTTTCCTACCTAGGTCCGCCTTTTTGTCGCTTTTTCACCTTTTCTCGTTCTGGATCCCTCGAATTCGAGGTGGTCATTGCATTTCTGGGCTTTTCGATTTTTTTACTTTTGAAATCGAAATTACTGTTTGTCTCCTCTCCCCCACTTCGTGGATTAGTCTTCTATCGTGTGAATCCTTGTTGTTGGAAACTACTGCGTTGACCCTAGGGTTATCCAGGAGTGCTTAATTAGTATTTCTTCTCTCTACCATTTTTTCAATTTGCCTTTCTCTTGTCCAGTCATGTCTACTCCTTCTAGAGCTACTCGCTCCTCTGCTTCCCTCTTGGGGGAAAGGTCTGCCGAATAGGACACTGATTTAGAGGATGTGGACGAGGAAATTGACAATTTCCCTAGGGTAGATGCTGTCGATGCCAAGGAAAATGTTGAGGAATTACCCCCATCTTCTTCTTCTTTTGTGCCCCCTAATCCTGACAAAAGTAAAGGCAAGGTGAGTGAGGTAAGAGTCTTTGACAGTGCAGCGGACAATAGGAGCTGCCCTTAGGCATGCTAAGCTTGTAGGACCCAGTAAGGTTGACTCTTCTCTTATGAAAATTCTCAGTGATCGTTACAGTTTTCCTCCTGGTGTCCAGATAAATACACCCCATATGTTGCTCAAGTTCATAAGAAAGTCTGTTTCTTTGTGGCTGCTTTTGAGAATGACCTTCGCTTCCTTATACATCCCTTCATCAAGAGTGTTTTGCAACACTTCAACGTCTGCCCTACTCAGCTCTCCCTAATTTCTAGGGTGTATTTGTGGGTCTTCTTGTTTTATTTAAGATACATAGGCTCGAGTCCCCAACCTTTCCTTGCTTGTGGATCTTTATAATGTCAAGCTCACCTCATTAGAGGGTTTCTTATACATCTCCAAGCGAATCACGGCTAGACAGATCATTACTCACCTCTCGAGCTCCCATAAGGGTTGGAAAAAATAATTCTTTTTCGTTGGGGGCATCAACTGGGAGTACAACCCTACTGACAGGACTGATACTCTGGGTATCCCTAGAATTTGGTCTGCCTCTGAAAACTTAGGTGAGCCTTTGCTCGAACTGATTGAGCCCTAATTTGAAAATTATTGAGTTGTCTTTTTGACCTTTGTTCTCCTTATGTTGTTCTTCAGGCATTCGACTAGAGCTCAGTGCTGAGGACGAAAGGGTGAAGTGAAAGTTGGAGAAGTGCAATTCAGAGAAGTACTCTGAGCTCATCAAGCCAGGGTCTTAGTAGCACAGGGATTCCGTCCTCCAGAGGTATCGATAGAAGCTCCGCTTCCTATCTTAGTTGTTAGACCTGAAGACATAGAAGGTAACACTTTCTAAGTTGGTTCCCTTGCCTTCCCTTCTTTTTCCTTTTTCCTATTTAACTTGCTTGGTTCAGATCTCTCAGGTTCCTCCATAATGAAATCTACCCTTGAAGAACTCCAGGCTAAGGTTGACCTACTGAAGAAGAGTAGGAAAAGTGGCAAACGAAAGGCTGAGACCAGCTCTGGAGGCAGCCTCGTCGATAGATCTAAAGTGCAAAAGCTGGGAGTGCCCTCTTCTCCTGCCTTGAGCAAAGGAGGACACATTTTCTCATGTCAATCCCTGGCCCCTTCTCCTCTTCAAGGGGCCCAGTTTGCTCCCAAAAAGGCTTCTAAGTCAGGGCTGGCTTCCCCCACCTCTTCTGAGGTTGAGGGGGGCATTGGGGCTGATTACTGAAATTAAGCCAGACTTTGCACCCCCCGGACCACCTGAGCAACCATCCCAACTGCCTCTCCGGAGTCCCAAAGTCGAAAAGAAGGAGGACCAGGAAACTGATGAAGACTCCTTCTTTGACAACGCTGAGTTGGCTGCTGGGGCCATTTCATCCATTCTCTCTAAATCCGATATTCGGAGGGCCTCTACCATGCCCCCTGAGGCCTCTTTCTGCTCAGCTCTCCAAAGAGTAGCCACTGTAAGTATTTTCACACTCGCTCTTAGCTCGACGTGGTTGAATTGTGTTGATCTATACCTGTTTCCTTTTTTATCCACAGATGGCTCTCCATTTGAAGAACATGATGGGCAGGGTCCGATATTCGGAGGACTCTGCCAAAGTTTTGAAAATACACGAGTTTAAGGTCGCTGAGCTGACCTTTGATAATGAGAGCCTCAGAGCTCAGGTGCAAAAGCTCGAGGAGTAAATGAAGAAGTAGGCTTCTGACTACGAAGGCCTTCAAGCTGCTAAGGATATGGCTGAGGAAAGAGAGAAAAAGGTCAAAGATGAACTGAGGATGACCCGGGAAGAACTGTTACTCAAAACCAATGCCTAGACCAAAGCTAGCCAGGAAGCCTTTGATTCTCGGGGCTCCCTCGAGAGCCTTAGAAAGGAGTATGTTATCCTAATTGAGGCGAACGAAGCTTATGTGGTGAGCTCAAGGTGCAGAAGACAATTGTCAGGGAGAGGGATTACATAATAACCGAGCTGAAAGATGATGTCACCACCAAGTGGGCCTCAAGATGACTGACCTTTTCAGCTTAAAGCGGAGAAGACCTATCCAGATCTCGACTTCGACTTTGCTATCCCCACTGAGGAGGAGTTGGAGGAGACTGACTCAGAGGGTGATGATAACCCCTTGGCTTCTGCCACCTCTATTTGGGCTCCAAAAGGCACTGAAATGTCCTCTCCTGCAGCTGCTCTTATTATTACTCCCTTCTCTATTGACCTTGTGACTGAGGCCCTTGCCCAAGATTTACCAATAGCTAGAGTGGAGGCTCCTGGGACCAGCACTCCTGAGAATTCTGCTCCTCTGCCACCTAGGCCCTTATCTTCTGAGTTGCTGGGCTCCGTTCCTGTTATTGAAACTTCATCTGCTGATCTGCAAGACCATTCACTTACTCCGTCTTTAGAAACTTAGGCTACAATTTCTGGTTTTGTTTTGTACAACTCGAATTCTTGGACTGTAACTTCTATTTTTGCACATCTGATTCATGATCTTTTTTGAACTGTTGTTGTAATGCTGGTGCCAATATTAAGCATTTTCGAATGTAAGCTCCGATTTCGTGCTCTGAAATATAACCCTTGTTTTGAAAAGCTACACACCATTCTTTCAGCCTATCTGAGTTATAATTGTGATACTGGCAGACCTTTAGAACTCAAAGATCAGAAAACTTATGCAGAGATACAACTAGACCTCAAAGTAGATCTCAACCCCAAAGAGGGCATTGGATCGCAGACTTGACATTCCTCACAGTGACAAGAGGTTTGCTAGATTTGAGAAAGAGAATAAGTAACTTAACGCTGAGGTCCATCACAAGTACCTCTATAGAGACCATGTTGCTGCATACATGAGAGCTTTCTGGAAGTCTAACTCGAGTTTCACATAAGGCTTTTTCGAGGAGATGTATCAGAAGGTCCATGCAACCATATGAGCTGACCTTTCTGGAAAGGCATCTTACCTCCCCAGTTAGGGGTCGAGTTCTGCCTTATTTCTCAAATTGTGTTGCACCTCATGCTGTGT